ATATTATATTATTATTTAGTCAATCCTATTTGTCCTAATCGATAACTTTCATCCCGCTAGTTTTTATTAAATTTGATGACTTATGAAAACTATTACTCCGTTTATAGATATTGGTTGCTTGGTTGCATATTATCCCATACGAAGTAAAATGTATAAAGTCGTCTTGCAATGCACAGTAGCACAATAATTAACCATAATCCTGAATTGCAGCTAATGAATTTCAAAATCAGATTTGAATAAAGTCAGTTGAAAAGATATACCTATTTTTCAAAAAAATAGTAAAGTAGAATTAAGTAGAAGAGGAAAAGGCTTGGAAGTTAGAGGGCTGAGAGTGGGGAGCTATCCATCTGAACAATATTATAATATATTAACATATCTATATGTAGTATGTACCTATAAACATTTTTGCTTTMATTTAATAGAATGAAAAATATTATGTACGGGGAGAAAAAAATTCGTATTTATACATATATTTATTTTAATATTAATTACATCATAATGTATTATACAGATTATCTAAATCTTTCATTTGAAACTAGTGGTGAATGTGAATTACAATAAGGTTTAACGCTAAATACCACAATGTATATTATAAATATGCATAAATACAAATATTATTTATAATTATAATATACGATATTGTATTGTAAGCTCAGGGGTTAAAGTGGAGGGGGGAYGCAGGAGGACTCAGTTCCCTTACCTCTGACGGCGGTTAAAAAGCGTCCCCTTTAACAAATTAGGATTTTATACATTTGACATTATACATAAAATTATATATATGGAACGCTTAAAACTATATGGAGACATTAGTCCCCTCTGGAATTTTTTCCCACTTTAACTTCTGTGTAAGCTGTATAATATATTAAAATACACATAACACATATAAGTACCTACTAGAAAACTAAAAACATGAATATAAGTACGTAATTACAAATGTGAAATTGTTCGTCTATCGACCATCTTAATAATATTATACGAAAATTAAAATAACGCTCGGCATCCCTCCTAACAAGTGGACGTTTTGCGGTTTCCATTTCGTTATAGTAAACTGTATGTTTATACTATATACTAATATAGTACGTTTTACAGGGTAATTTATTATTTGAACAAGATACAAGACTGCTGATGATAATTAGTGTCGAAAATGAATTTGAATTTAAGGTTTTTTAAAACAATTTTTAGATTGTTTGAAGTACTTATTATATATTGTACAACTTTATTTCTACAAAGAAATCCAATTTTTTATATAGTGCGCTTAATACTATTTAAGGCATAGCTGGTATAGCTATTTTTTTGATTAATGTGTTCTGAATTTCTGATGTATAAAATATCAAAAAATATTGGAGTAAGTAATAGTTTGTTATTTAAACGCATTATTTCACATGAAACTTAAACTAAACAAAAACAAATACTTATAAACGAAAAAAAAAAACATGATTTAATATTCTTAATTTACTTATTGTATAGTAGAATAGGAAATAAAAAATATGAATCGTTTTAAAAAGAAAAAAATATGCAGATAAATATTACATTCAAATATAATATCAAATACCTACACCTATAAGTATGTACCTACTTTAAATTATTGTATACATTATGTTCTCAAAAACTAAAATTGATTGGAATAATGTGTGATAAAAATAATCACCCTATATACACACGTCCATGACACATTAAATTACCTATGTATATAATATAATATTATTTTCAACACTCGTTTTAAACGGTTATAAAATTAACAGTAATTGATCTGACCTCGAAGTGGCTCAAAGCGTGCTCCATGCCTCCCCAGCACACGTATGCCGACGAATGACTMGGATTTATTTTCGCTGGCAGTAAGTCACCTTCGTAAAAAGCTCGACCCGCATACAACGGGTCGCCGCCCTTATCCGTGCCCGCGTGTACGGCTCCTCTAGGCAACGGATCGCCGGAATTGCACGGCACCCACAACAGCGAGTGTTGTTGATCTATCGGAACCCATCCGTAACCACCTGTGAAGAGTGAATAAAAATAATATTACCTATATACTTATCAAACGTTGATACAAAATTATATTATATCTTATTGTTATGGATCCGAGAAATATTTAAATTGTAATTAATAGGTACA